GGCAACCCTTAGTAGCTCATTTCTTGATTATCTATAGGTACAGAAATTTTAATTTTAGCAAACACAACTTTTTTGGTTAGGATTTTGGAAGGGTAGATCAGAACAGCAGTGGAAATGTGAGAGGATTTCTATTGAGCTGCCTATTTGCTATGATGGCCAAGTGCCTTCACATCAGGTGAATTGAGAAACACTGATGTTCCAAGAAAGCTTTCTGTCTGTTGTCTCTACCAGATCATATAAAGTCTGAACAAAACAGCATGCAAATTCAGGGCAGAGTATCTGAACAGAAAGGAAAGTATATGATCTATACCATGCCCATGTCAGGTGAAGAGAATCATTCACTACAGGATGAAAGCTTGTTAAAAATGCAGTCAGAATAGTTATATTTGTCACAAGTGCAAAACTATGCAGACTTGGGTATCGTACCAGCACTTGTACTGTGTATGCATACGTTTCATGCAATGCAAGCATACATCCCTCTGACTGAAATAACGCTATTCCCTCATCACCAAGAGCAAAATTATGTAAATGACATTGCAGGCGGGGGAAAGGGGGAACACACAAATATCTTCCAAAAATTTTTAAATAGTCCGTAAATTACTATGTCCCCAAGTATCACAGCCTCTGGATATATTTTTTTTAAATACTGCATGTCCCCTAAAAAATATTGAACAAAAAGCCATTGAGATTTAGAATTGTACTCTATATCAGGCCTGGAATTTCTCATCTATAATGTACTGACTCCTGGTTGTCCTGAGAGTCAGACTAGATACAAACAGTCTCAAAAGATGAGCAAAAGGGAGGGGAAAAAAATCCCCAACCAAATACCTTCACATTTCAGGATACTACAGGGTAAGAAAAAGAATACCTTGCTTCAGAAGTGCTTTTGCAGCGCTTTGTTAGTGCCTGTTTGTGAATACTAACAACAATCATTTAGAATATCTTTTTGTAGAAAAAGAATCAGGCAAGATAATACCAGTAGAAAAGTCAATGTCATTTGATCACTGCCATATTTTTAAAGCAGTGCCCAGATACTAATGAATCTCTACAATCTCATCATTTGGTAGGTGGCTCGTTATCATCTTTTCATGGAAAAGGTTACAGGAACTGAAGATAAGGGATACATCTAAATGTTCAAAACACATGGTGAGTTTGTTCTAGAATTATCAAAAGGATTTCCTGTCCTTTTCTTAGACCAATACCCCACGTTGCTCTCCTCTTCCTCATAAAAGTTGATCCGACTATATATATCATACTTATATATATATATATATATATATATATATATATATGTATACACAGAGAAACAGAGAAAGATGTAGTAATTCAATAGGAGCAAAAGAGGAAAAAACCCTTAGTAATATCTGAATAAATACAGAATAAATATATAATTCAATAATATTTCACAGTTATTAACTGTGGAAGTAAGAAGAAACTTCTGCACTAAAAATAAAACAGAACAAAACAGTGAAAGCGAAGTATGAAATGCTAAGACTAAGGCAAGACATTGAAGGACAAACATTAAGTAAGTAAATGCAACAGAACTGCCTGCCTGCCTGATCACTTTAGAGCAGATCCCAGAAGGCCAAAGTAGAGTAGAGCTTCTGTGCAAGAGTTTGGAAATAAGAATTGATGGTAGAACAATTTCTTTACAACCCTTTGGAGACTGAAGAGCCAAAACAGGAGGGAAATGAGATCTAGGCCACTCACGAGATAGACCAATTTAATGGAATGCACAAGACGGCCCAAAATTGAGCCCTAGATTAAATTCCAAGTTACCTTCCCCATCAAAAGAGGTCTGGAGAGGAAACAGAAATGAAGCAAGCTGTGTGTATCAAATGCAAAAAGTCTTTCAGTCGGCATCTGCACATGCTGCCAGTCTATAGCAATGAAATCTGCAAACCTGATGTAAAGCATGAAAACACGCACTTTAGTGCATAATTCAGAACAGGCTTGGGTTTCCCGTGCAAAATTTGAAATGTCCTTTCACCTTGACTGCTTGATACCAAAAATTTGAGGCTAAATGTCTGAACGGCTGTTTGAAATTCCACAGCAATTCAGAGGCGTGCGTTTGCTCCTGGCCGTCCTAAGCGCTCCAAGTCATGTTGACAGGGATTCCCCATGATGTGGGCTCATACACTGAGCAATAAAACTGACCTCCAGGGGTGGCCACACAGCCACAGAGTGAGAATTACAGCAGCTTCAAAAAGGACTATGTATTCAACTCTCCTAATGAGAGCAAGAGTCACAGTGGTATTTTATCAAGAAAGGCATGAAGAGTTTGTACCTTTACACCTCAAAGTTTTAGTGGGACAAGAAAATAAATGGCTAAAAAATAAAATAAACAAACAATATTGTTTGTCTCTAGCAAACAATACTGTTAAGTTTTCAAGACTCTATAATTGAAACAGACTGGTTCTCAAAGTTTTGTTCATGTATTTTCAAGTTATTAAGTATGTCTGCACTACAAAATAGTTGGCTTGGTTTTAGTTTTTTTTCAGTATATAGAATGCCAGTATTCTGAACAAATAGGAGCAATTTTTTAAATAGACAAAATTCAAGATTGCTTCAGAAAATACAGTAAACTCTAAGTGAAAATGGGGCTTCAGAGATGCTATGCATTGAGCACAGCAGCTTAATTATTTTAAAGCAAGTCCTTCCATACCTACACAAAACAGAGTATTGCTAATGACAGTGACAGAAAACGATAACTACTCTCATTTCCACTTTGAGTAATTTTTCTGTGGTTAATAAATTATATCCATAACAGTGTTAATAAGTTATGGTACCGTGTCACTGCCTTAGTTTGCATTTATGATGAAGCACTTCATGGCATCACCTATACCCATGGAAGAACATAACAGGAGAGAGCCCTTCTCTGCTCTCAGAAGGGCTATGACATCCTATGCTGGCACTTTGATGGATCCCCTAAATAAATGCTGTCTCCTGACCCCTGCCTAGCTCTTACTTCTCACCTCTGCTGCAGGAGCATGCCATGGCAGGGCAATTCAAAAACTTTAATACCTTTAATAAAACACTGGCACTCTTAAATCAGTGCCCTTTCCATAGGAATGATATACAAGGAGTTAGAAGTAAGGTGAAAATGGGAGGTATTCTGATCAATTTACTATGTGAAAAGGACACTGTCAGATCAACTCATCTTCCCTCAAGCTCCCAGAGGAAAACAGAAGACTTAGACTGACTGATGGGCTCTTGATCAAATACTGTAAACATTTTTCCTAAAGGTAAGAATAAATAAATGTGCTTTAAGCTTAATATGATTTGATTTTTGAAGAAAAAAGAAAAGCAGAAGCTATTTAAATTCTTGCAACCCAACTATGGCAGCACTGGTGAAGATAGAGATGGCAACAGTAATAAGCACACTTTTAACAACTGGAAGAAGCTCAGGGCTTTAAGTATATTCTTTTACAAATAAAGAAATACAAACCAGTAAACAAACCGTCCCAAATCAGAGTTCTGTAGTGTGAAGTTTTAGTCATCTTAAGCATTAACTTGAAGAGCTGCTATTAAGGAAGATTTTTTTTTTGTCCATTAAAGTTATTACATAAAAATTCAGTATAGTTTGAAAAAAATTTTTTTAGAAGAATGTTATTATTGATTTGTTTCCTGTACCAGGCTACTTTCTATAGTAAAGTATTCCTTTTAAAAGCTTTTTCCTGCTTTATATATACAGAAACTCCTTTGTGAAACACAATGTTCAAATAGAAATGAGATATTCCACCTCAATAGAAATTATTTGCTTTCTATCAGTATGAAGTAAAAAGTAGCACTATTAGATTAAAATGGAGAAAAATCCCAAGTTATCTGCAGCCTCCATAAGCCAACAGTGCAAAAGCTCACATGCTTTTACAGTAGGTACATACAAGATAACTTCATAGACATATTACTGGAATGGTTTGCAACCAGTGAAGATAATGTTGATTATTTCCACTTCAAAACTTCCTATATTGGAGCCACATCACTGAAAACAATCTAACCATAGGGGGGAAAAAAAAGTGATGCGAAACAAGTCTGCTAATCTCTTCATGAAAACTAGACAGAGGAGGAGAGTAGTCTGCTGTAGATTAGCTGAAGTCTTTCAGAGACAAAGACTCCAGTATTCTAAGCAACAGAAATAAAATCCCCATAAAAATACCTTCACTTAATTTCTCTTTCTCCCTCCCTGCTACAACTAGCATCATTTATTTGTATACTGAATTTGTCTCCACTGCGCCACAGTGAAATACATTCTATAATTTAAAAGGTAAAAAAAATACCATGTTCCCACCACAGCATCATTGGACACCATACTGCATAGAAAAATGAGTTGTGCCTTTGCAGTAATTTGACAAGAGAAGAACAAAAAGAATGGCAAAAATAGAACAATACGACTAAGGCTTGAAGAATGCATCAGTTCAATATTTAGCAACGCATAAATTGAGGTCTCATTTTTGTTTAGGTATATTTTGATTATAACTAATAAATGACTGATTTTCCTTTGGTTCTTTGCAACAACAACATATCACCCAAAGAGCTTTATTCTTTATTGCCTTCTCATATAGCATGCCAAAGACAGTCTCAGTTTATGAATTAGCATTTAAAACTACTGTAGGTTATCTAACAAGCATTCAGATTCAATAGTACTTTTGACAGCAGTAAGTAAAGAGCCTTTTAACATCTTGAAATACATGTGCTTGAAAAAAGTAGTTGCATCAAAGCAGTTCAAAGACTGCAGACAAAAACCAGTTAAAATCCAGTTTGCTGTAAGATGATTTTAGTGTGGTGTAAACAACCTTTCACGACTCCCCATGGGAAATGTTGTAAGACTACGTTCAAAATGAATCAGGCATATTTATAAAGATCATGAAGTGGTCAAATGCATTTGCATTTTTGGCAGATCCACTCCACGGGTACTACTTGCTACAGTCTGTAGAAATCTCAAATCTCACATCAGCCTTGCCTATAGTGCTTTATTATTTATTACATGTTATGCTAAGTACCTGCGAAAGGGGACATTCCTTGGCCAATGAACTCTGGTTCATATCCTTCAGTAAGTCCTTCAGAGCATTTCTTACTGTTGTGTGAGACCATTGTTCAGGAGGCAAGTCTTCTAGTTTAGGGCAACTATTTGAAACACAGATTAGAAAAGGGATTATTACAAGATTGCATCCTGCTGCAGAACATTCCTTTAAGACAGACAGATTTCATTTTGCGCATCAAGCAGATGCATCTGGAGATTGCTCTCGGTCTCCTGATTGTTCCGATTAGTTAATTACTTTATACAACACATCTGCTGTATTGATGCATGAATTATACATCAGCTGCATGTGGCGACTATTTTTTCATGTTACTTCTACCTTCCTGCTCTGATGCGCTTGGTAAAACAATTTAAGGTGTAATGCTTTCTCACAACTGATCATGAAAAGCATTAATATATTAACCATTTTTGCTTTTTTGTTGCCGTGAAATTTAAGAACCTAGACAGCAACAATAAGTGAGAGCAAGTCATTCTTTTACAAAATGCACACAGATGGTACTGTTCATGATATGCAAAAATATTTTTCTCTTAAGTAAACTTTATGTAAAATGCCTTCTTGTAATGCATCATTTAATTGACTAAAATGCAATATAGTTTTAATGAGATATCCAAAGAAAATCTATGTATCAGAGCTATAAAAGTTTTCTGCAATAGTATACTGTAAGTTAAAGAAGAATTAGAGTAACTAAAAAGGAATTTAGGCAAGCCTTTGTACTTTGAGCACAAAGCACAGTGGGAATTAAATACAAGCAATATTAACAGTTAAGAGCAGACAAGTAACAGTTCATATCCCAGAACTGGTATATGACTTACCTGTGTAACTGGATTTTCAGTGTGACCACATGATAAACGTCTTGCAGCATGTCTGCTACTGTAGCATCAGGGGCATCTGTCACATAGGAGAGTGGAACTGGATTCCACTTCCCAACCTGGATAAGCCCTGCAGGATTGTAATTTTCGGAGGGGAGGGGGAGTGGGCAAGAAAAGCAGGAAAAATTGAAAGAAAGTGATTTACCTAATTCCTAGGGGCAAAAGAAATATCTGATTTTAACAAGATCACTCCCTTTGTTTCTAACCTCTTAAATCTGGCAAAACAAAAGAACAACCCCCTCCCCCTCCAAAAACCCCCACCCACACACCACCAAGGATAGGCCTTATCTATACTATGAAATAATACAAATGCATTGCAGTAGAGATTTTTTTAATATGTATAGAAGCATATTTTCCTAAGCTACCATTAATTCAGTAGGACATGATATAATAGTTAGCATTCCTCTTAACAAATTAGTAAGAATTTTGCAATGCAAGAATTGAGCACAAAAAAAATTACTTTGCAGTCTATAAAACCATCAGGAACAAAATAAAAGAAACAGAGCTGGATATTCAGTCATAAATGCAAGTTGACTCTCAACAGTCCATCTGCTCAAATATGCTTTACACTTCCTTGTGGATCCTCAGTGGAGCAGATTATTAAGGTCAATAAGCATACTAATGATTCAGAGTTGAAGTCTTTTTTCTTCTTAAAAAAAAAAAAAAAAGAAAAAAAAGGAATTTACCTCCACATTCCCCACGAACAAAATGTGCACTAACTAAATAAAAACACATCAAGGAAAAAAAAATACAGACACGGAATCTGTGAGAAGTTTAAGAAGTAAAACCTGCATTGCATTCCTGAAAAAAATCCCGCCCCTCCCCCAAGACCCCACAAACAAACACAATTCATTGTACAATTTCATAATCTTATTTACCTTTTGCTTGGGCAGCAGAGCTGTGAGAATATCCAAGAGATAGCAATGCCATTTCAATCAGCTGGTTGAAAAGCATATCCTTCCTCACCAACACAAATTCTGCATGCTCCTCCTTAGAATCATACTCAATGGCATTTTCATAATGTTCCACTACACAGAAAACTGGAAGCATACTTCCTATTAAAAAAATTAAATTTAACATATTAAAGTTGAGTTATAGTAGAGTAGGTGGGTCTATACAGAGTTATGTAAATAAAACCTGTACAAACAGGCAGAGGAGGCATCAAGAATCATCACAAATATTTGATCAACATATTCCCCGAGTCCTTTCCCCTCACCCTCCCCAAAAACCAGAAAGTTCTACAAAACATACATCTCCCTGAAAGGCAGAAATGCAAATTTATCTCCCTTGATCAGATGCAGATTTAAAGAATTACCTTCTATAGAAATAACAAGGTTGACTGAAGAGAAGTTGATTCTCTCTGTCCTGCCTGATTTGTTGTGAGTAGCAGGCAGCATGAGAACCTAAATACATACTGCAGATGTCTTCACTGTAAGCCATTTTAGTACCAGCCACATAATTTTGTTTGTTAACATTAAAACTTTCTTAGTCCTGCCAAAAATATTTAATTGGTTTCAACATCAACAACAAATCACCTTGTGTGTTATACATTCACTCTGAAAAGAGTACACAAGGAAACAAGGCAAAAGTTAACACTAATTCGTGCTTCATTCACTGAGTGCAATTGAGCACTACTTTCACTTGCATCTTTAAGGAACAAATCATTACTTCAGTGCCACTTTAAGAAGTGTACCTGCAGTTCAGGCTTATTTTTGTTGTTCTTGTTGTTGTCTCCCGCACTTTACATCCCACAACGCTATTTTGGCATGCCTGAAAGTTAATTACTAGTTTCCAGTTTTGTAGCATCATATGGCAAACCCTTCCATACACTGCACAGAATATTAAGCAAGTAACCTTTTTTCTTTCCTTTTGCCTTTTTCTTTTTTCTTTTAATTTATTTTATTTTCCTCCCTTTTGATGACAGAGAGAGAAGTAACAAACAACCCAAGCTGGTTTAGGGACAAAATCTCTTCCAGCAATCAGACTCCTGGACTTTATGAAAATCCCTCCCAGCCTCCCAGATGGACATTGATGACACAATGACCTGTGGTTTTAAGCTCCAATCCTGTTCCACTGTCTCCAGCAGCACAGGTTAGGATCTCTTAATGACAGAAAGGAGAAGGGTTAAAAGGAGATGTACAGAACTGTCTTATGGCAGCCTGCCAGAGGGGTATCATCTTTAGCATAAATGATGACAAGGGTTATTTTAACAGGGCACCCAGGAACTCCAATTAGTCCTACAATGTTAATGCCTCTATAACCACTGCCCTCTAGACTTACAAAAACCTCCTAACCTGCTAAGGTGCACCAGACATGCTGTAGTCTAAAAGGAAGCTTTACTCTTGACAATAGAGTAAAACCACATCTGCTGATTTGTGCTCTAATGTATAGTAAGAAATCACAATAAAAAAGATACCTCTTAAGCACGTATATTTAAAATACATCTGTTCACCAGAGAGCCAATCTCTGGCAAACAAACCTCTTCAGGCTTGCAAGGAAAAGCTCACAAACTCACTCCAGTTTGCCCAATAGGCTCAGCATGAAAGACTAAAGCACAAGAGCAAAAGCTTGCCAATATTCATGTAGTGCAGGAAGGAGATTTTTTTTTTCTTTTTAATTTTTTTTTTTTTATAATCTGAGTGAGACTGGCCAGGAAGGGAGAGAAGACCAAAGCAAAAGCAATACATGCAAAGCGATGTTTATTTCACTGGTTTTAAATAAGCTGTGGACACACACATTTCATCTGCAAAAAGGTGGTGGTTTGGTTTTTGGGCTTTTTCTCCCTTTCAGGCTCTCACAATTGATGTTTTACCTACTACCATCTGACTCAGAGTAAGGGCTCAAAATTCTTAAGTAGTTTCACCAGTAATTCCTGAAGATAAAGCGTAAGCAAAGCTTCATTCTAACAAATAGTGCAGATACATCCTAAACCAGCTAAAGCATATTAGTTTTTCCCCTTATCAGCTCCTACAAGTTAAGCTATGATCAGACACAACACACAGGTATTTTGCTGCTTATCAGCACCTTTTTTTGCCGGGTACATGGTTTCTTCAGTTGCAGCATTTTGGGAAATGTGGTACTTTAAACAACACAGGAGAGCCTCCTGGCCAAATTTTGAGGCACAGCATAGATTAACAGAGGTGGATCCCGGTAGTGCGACACAGGTATCATCTGACTACAAATCAAGCCACTAAATCTTTTAGCGAACTGTCACTAGTGTCCTTCTGTTAATGTGAAAAATGTTATACAGGAGAGCACAATCTCAGCTGGCTGATCACTCCTGCTAGTACTTGGCAAGACCTCCAAGTGCAGCAACTTCATAACCTTCTAGTATTAAAGGGGAGAGCATTGGTCAGTGCTCCCTGCTAAAAATACAGTATGATTTAAACCTGAAGGCAGTGTTAGAGCTTTTGCTGAAGGTTTACGAGTCTGTGTAAACAGCACGTCTGCCATAAGGAGCACTGAAGTCTGTAGAATCCTTGTCTAAAACTGTCCTGGCATTAAAGTTTGCTGTGCAAATATCACATAATACCAGAGACAGCTGAAATCTCCTATTTAGGAATTTATGGAACTTATATGTTTGCAGGCGTCAGAAAGTCCTTTTTATACAGCCCCACTGCTTCACTGTACAATGTTAATGCACTCTGCTTGAAAAGCCGTAATAAATTATATTTTTAATGCTCTTACCCTGGCTTTCTTAAGATGCATACATTCTTGGCAAACAATCAATAAATAGGGTAATCATGAGCAGAGGCCAAAGAATTTGCTGAAGTGCTGTTTTTCCATTTTTAATAGATAAAGATCTAACAATACGGACTGCTGTGTCTGTTCATTTCAGGATCAATATATTCTTTGTTTTCGCCAAACCGAGGAAAAAATAAATGATTGTACGATAAATGTTATGCATCAGACACAATGAAATTCCTCTGCCTTCTAACTTTGTGCGTTTAATAGTCTTGGTTGCATTTTGCACTTTGCTTAGCAAATACAAGAAAAATCTGGATTATAAACATAACTGATTATACTAGGAAAAGTAGAGGCTGTTTTAAGATATATGCCAAATTACATGCAGCATATTTCGATTTAAATTAGCAAGCCTGCAGGACATGGTCAAAAAGACTTACAAATCTTGATAAGTAAAATTAGCATATTATTGTCCATTAAAAGTATTTTCAATGCAAACAAAAGCCATCCATATACAAACATCAATGATTCTAAATGTGCCTTTTCCTTGTGTAAATGTCTAATTACAGCAAACCAGCCACTGAAAAATATGACACCCAAGTTGTTCATTGTTCAATAATGAATTGTACTTAAGAAAATAAACTGCAAAGATTGACATCATAAATGACTTTTCCAATGTGATACCTAAAGATTTACACTCTCTCCTTTAAACCAACTTGCAACTGCTATGGAACTACGGCTGCCCTTCCAATCATAGGACCATCATTAGGTGGAAAGGCGAAGAATTTGTTTTGGGGGTTCAGTATTTACTCTTACATATTTTTGCGTTTCTTAGTCCAGCGCTTACTCAAAGAATTAATGCACCAAATTACTTATATTTCAATGTAAGAATTTGCTTTAATCACAGTAGCTAGCCTTTACCTTAACAAAAATCAGACTCCACCCTGAAAAGCAAGATGCTCCACCCAAGAATGAACCTTACATTTCCCAAAAGTGATTTATATCAGAATTGGGAATATAGTATTTTAGAATGGAGATTTTAATCCTGAAATATAAATGAAGTAGAGTCTGCAAAAGTATGCTTCCCCCCCAAATATTATAAATCATATTTCTCTAATGCAGAATTATCAAAAGCGTTACCTTTTCTAATATTAGCTTTCATCAGGTGTCCAGAGTGTTTTAAAGGCACTCCTTGCATTTTAGTTCCTGTACTTCCAAGTCTTCCTCTTCCTAATGGGCTCCCATTCTGTTCCAAGCGCGCAATTTTGGCTGGTGGACCCTTCGGATCGCTTACATTGTTAGACATTTCTGAATGTTCTTTCCCCTGAGTTGCCTCGTTCAAATGATCCATACTCAGTCCCGCCTCTAAAGATCACCTGCCATGATTAAAAAAAAAAATATATATGTTGTACACGTGTGCGCATATGTATACGTACACAGCCTGCACATGTACAGAGACAGATATATATGTATCACAAGCTCATAAAGAAGAATAGATAACTATTTTAACTAAAAATAAATGCCTTTTTTAAAAGAAACAAACTTATTCTTCAAAAATTACCTCATATCCCAGTTTACAGAGAGATTGTATCATAATCTAGTGGAATGGTTTTTTAAAAGCCAACCAGAGTACCTCTTAAAAAAATTTTAAAAATCTTTGGAGATATTCTCCTAAAACTGAAAGAGTCTAAAACCCATATAAGTGATGATGATCGTCAAGGTGTGTGCTCCAAGACAGGTATTGTTACAAATCTCACAGAAAGGTTTGTTATTATTCGCGGATGTTTTTGTTGTGGAGAGAAAGATTTTAATGAAAAATTTCTTGATCTATTTGATTATAAAATGGACAAGCAAAAATAGAGAGATTGCTAAAACTAAAGTTGAAGCAACAGATTTATTAGAGATGTAGACTATTGTCCATTTACAATTCCTCTCCCCCTTAAAAATAGAAGTTAGAAAAGAATTTGCCATTTAACTTCAGAAAGCAGTGGCGGGAGAGGATTGCTTTTGAGTTTCCTAACCATATTATACAGAGTTTATCAACTTTTGCAAGGTTCAAAATATTCAATTTTTCAGATATTAAGTTTCAAGTGTTAAACAAAGTAGTTTATTCACTTAAGATAAATAACTGAATAGTTTCTCCCCAAACATAAAGCTGGGGTAAAATCCTCTACAATTTCTACAGTACTTTTGATGCCCTTAAATATAAAAAAACCCCAAAACCTGGGTGATGCTGACACAGCTATTTGAAACCAAAAAACCAGAATTTCAATAGCAAATTAAGAAAAGGTATATATTAGCATGCTTGTACTTCCCTTTTTATAAATTTTTGAAACCTCTGTCCATGAATAACAAATACAGTTAAATCACTAAAAATCTTCCAAGCCTACAGCATAACAGAGTAAGTTTTAAGGATTTTTGCCACTCATCAGAACCTGTTTTTCAACTATATTAAAAAACCTTGCTGAGAGCAAAGGCATCTTTCTGGTTATGATTTCACTAATCAATACTGTTGTGATTGTTAGGTATTTTATCTACCTTTCCCTGACAGGGAAAGGTATAACTATACAGACAATTATGTTATATATATATATATATATATATATATATATATATATATATATATATATATATATAAATAATATAATCACTAAGGACAGGTCAACAGACATTAATCTTTGAACCAGTATTTACATTAGCAAGTACAAATAGTAATACTGGGGAAGTCATATTTAGAAAGACTGGTGTGAATCGGATAATTGCTACTTTTCTTTCAGATTGCTAATAATTCAGCACATTTTCTGCACATTTCATAGCCAAGTTATTAGAGCCTAAATATCTTGGAATCTTTATATATATACACTTCTATGTCACTAGTATACATGCCAGTGATAATTTTGTAGACTATTTTTTTCTTGTTTGAACATCACCCTGTTTTTCCCGATACAGTGAAGAAAAAAGCAATGTATTAATTCAAACCTTTACAAGCAACCTCAAGAATGCAACCAAGTAGATGAAGTTCAGACAATCATTACTTTTCCTTATGCTGTTAGGTGACAAGCTAAGGTTCACTATTCATCTTTATCCCATCTGTTTTAGGTCATGCGTCTCATGAACAGTAAACATGCCTATTTTAGCCACTTTTCAAAAAGAATTTTTTAAACTGTGCTAAGTGTAACCTAAGCAAAGAATTACAGATTCAAACTGTTAACATCTTCCGATGTTTCTAACAACACGAACAGACCATAGGGCTGCTATTCTGAGACTGGTCTATCTCAAGAAAAAGAGGATTAACAAAACAAAACAAAACAAAACAAAAAAAAAAAGGGTGTTGGGGGGGGGGAAGAGTAAAAGAAAACACACACAAAAAAAAGCTTCGAACAAGAAATTCCTGATCACTTTTGGCAACTTCAGAAGTACTCTAAGGCAGGAAGGTTCTTTGCTACAAAAAGTATCTAGTCATCATGAGTCAGAATCGCACTACATCATGTACAGTGAATAAAAGTGATAGATCGCCACTTAGTTAATACACTGACTGCAACCAAAACACCAAATGGGTCATTTTCGCTTGGCCTGAGAATACCCACCCATCGGCATCCTTTCACCGCTTAGTCATCTTGTAAAAAGCTTTATGTTACAAAGCAAAATTACATGCACATAAAACACCTAATTTACTCATTTAAACTCCATGCCCAAGGCTAAAGTTCACTGAAACCTCAGTTTGGAATAGTGATGAGCAACAACCAGCATGGCCTGCCCAGGGAGAGGGTGGCAGGAAAGACCTATCATCTCCGCCGGTTCCAGGCCAGGAGTTTCCCTGGGTTTCGCATTTAGGCATCTTTCACAACTACAAGTTTTCATCACAGATCAGTGAGAGAAGAGCACAATTTCAAGGCACAGTTTCCCGGAGCCAGCGTACACGTACAGGCACACCGCGCAATTTCTGAATGAGAGTCGGTGCCGTATCCCCTTTTGTCGCGATGTAACGCTGCCGGTATTATATTATTTCTTTCTCTCCTCCTGAATCAGCCCCCTCCCCATGCCTTTCCCCTCCTCTTCCCTCCCTCCCCCATAAAAACCCATAATCACATTTGAGAGAGGCTCCGCACTTATCCGTTCCATATGGCTCTCACAATCCAGGCCAAGCTTTCCCTGTGACCTTTTAAAGAGACAAAGAAGCAAAGTACTTATCTAGAAACAGAAACACTGCAGTTTTCTGAGTGAAATTAGCAAAACCGACCCGAAACTCACCACTTCAAAACTTGACAGCATATAAATAACAAAAACAAAGGAGGTTTCCTTTGCAGCCCGAGCTCTTGAAGAGGAAGAAGTTCAAGACTGATGTTTTTAGGTCCCCCCCTTTCTGAAGGGGGGTGGGGGGGGGGGGGGGCAGCAGACCTGAGGACTACTTCCCCTAATATTCTCTTATTTTTTCTTTTTTTTTTCTTGTTGCTATTTTCCTCTAGGCGGGGAGGGGCAAAAACAGATAGCGAGAAACAGAGTAGCCATGAGCAAAAATGGCAATGGACAAAAAAAAAAATAGAGATTAAATATCTTTTGAGAGAGCCAGTTTTCGAGGTTTAGCAACGGAAGACAGAGCTGCAGATCAAATTGATCAGACAAGTGTAACGCTCAAAACGAGGAATTAATAATAATAATAATAATTTAAAAATAAGTAGCAGGTTTAAATTAAGGTGGAGGGTGATTTAAGTCTAGCTATCCTTTCAAAAATAAAACCAATGCATAAAGGATCAAGTGAGAAAGGGGGTTATTAAAAAAAAAAAAAGCAAAGAAAAAAAAAGGCAGCTTTTCTATCCAGTGTGAAGAGCAGAAAGTCTACTTCTAGGTTGTCACTTACACTATTATTCTCCAATAGGCACCCAGAGGAGCAGCACACACAGAAGGAGCCCGCTCCCCTCCCCCTCCGCAAAAATATACACCGTAACAGCCCCCAAACTTTCTGCGGAAACCTCAGCCCCAGAGATCGCTACTGGAGATAAAAAGAGAAAAAAAAAAGTGGAGAGAAAATTGCAGGAAAAGGCACTAAAATGCCACTTTTAATCTCGCCTCTGCGGTCCGGGGAGGGAAAAAAAAAAAAAAGGAAAAAAAAAAAAAAAAGGCAGAGAGGACCTGTCTCCTCTCATTTACCGGGGGCTGTTGTGCGAGCGACGGGGGGGAGAGAGGGAGCGAGAGAGGAGGGGAGAGAGAAAAAGAACAGAGGGGAGGAAGGAAACACACAACAAGGCACACCACCACCACTACAAAAAAGTGACGAGGTTTCACTCCCTCCGAGTCCAACACCGGGAGAAATTATAATTTAAAAAAAAAACCGATCCTATTAGGAAAAAAAAATTAAAAAAAAAAAAAGGAAAAAAGAAAACCAACAACAAAAAACTGGTTCTGCTTCTGCAAAGAAAAAAAAAAAGAAAATCTGGGAACTCCGAGAAGAGTTACTCGCAAGAAGGGGTAAAAAATATAAAATAGAAAGGTTGCAAAAAGCCAACAACAACAAAAACCAAACCAGCAAAAAAACCCCAGTAACAATTGAAAAAGAATAATAATGGTAGGCTATGTATTTTGTCTTTTTTTTTTTTTTTTTTTTTTTTTTTTTTAATTCTCGTTTCCCCTGGCTGGCTGGGTATGGTTGTTATTTAGGCCGGTTTGGTGGTTGTTGCTGGATGTTACATGGATATGTGTGTGTGTGTGTGTATGTGTGTGTGTCCCCGGACGGAGCTGCCTCGCTCTGCTCTGCTCCCCCCCCTCCTCTCTCTCTCCCTCTCTGTTTCTGTCCCCATTAAATTATTAGTTGACTCATCACTACTCCTCCTCCTCCTGCTGCTGCCGCCGCCGTCCCCTGCTCACAGCCTCCTCTCCTCCTCTCCGCTACCGCTCGCTGCCGCTGCTGCCGCTGCTTCTTCTTCCTCCTCCTCATTTTAATACAAAATAACACCGAGGCCACCGGCTTTTTTTTTTTTTTTTTTTTTCCACAGCCGGAGACGGGAGGAGGACGCAGCCTCCCTGCTGCTGCCCGGAGCCCTTCCCCAGCGGCCCCGGATCATCCGACACGTCCTGGGAGAGAGAGAGAAAGTGGCAGAGGAGGAGGAGGATGAGGAGGTGGTGGTGGTGGTGAAGGAGAGAGGCGTGGGGGAGGGGAGGCCGGGGAAGGGGGAGGGGGTCGGCAGAAGTGCGGTGGCAGAGGGGGACCGCAGCGAGGAGCGGGGAGGGGGCGCCGGGCCGGGCCGGGCCGGGCCGGGGGGGGGCGGCCGCCGGCGGCGGTAGGTGAGCGGGGGGGCCGGGGGAAGAGGGCGTGCGGCTTCCGGGCGCGCACGAATTTGCAGCTCGCTGGGTGCGGGTGAGGCGGCCCTGCCGGCGCCGCGCACAATGCCCGCTCCGCGCCGCCCCGCTCCGCGCCGCCCCGCGCCACAGCGCGCCCCCCCCGGCAGATGGGGCCTGCGGCGGAGGGGGCGAGCCGGGGGGGACGGGCATGGGGGCACAGCCGCAGCACCCGCAGCAGCAGGAGGAGGAAGAGGGGCGGGGGTGAAGGCTGAACAATATCCTGCCGGCGCTGCCGGGTGCGCCGCGCTGGCGCAGCCCCCGCCCCTCGGCGCGGAGCCTGCGCGGGCCGCACCGGGCAGGTGCACGGCGGCGGCGGCCCCGCAGGGCCCGCAGGTGGGGACGCGCCGCGGGGGCCGCCCCGGGGAGCCGGCGGCCCATGTGGGGGAAAGAAGTTTTTCCTTCCCTACCCTCGCCTTCGATACCGACAGGGATGAAAGAACAGCACCAGCCACGGTTCTGAAATGCGGCCGAGGCTGAGTGAAACCGGCCTCGTTCCGCGGAAGGCATCACCCAGCGCGGCTCTGGTGGCTCCGCTGGGCGCCGCGGCCAACCAGAGCAAGCTGCAACACACCGTGGGTGAGAGCGATACATCGCTCCGGGCTCGGGACGGCCAGATGCCACATCCCCACGCCACAAAACTGCCCCTGTGTCAAGTCCGCAGCGCGGGACCGAAAGCCACCCCTGAAAGGTGAAAGCTAAAAGGTGGTAAAGTATTGACAAAACAAGTAACTGCGAGACAGACATGGCGTGTTCCCATCATGCACGTGGAAGAAAGTAACCCAACTAGACAAACTTGAAAGCAACAAGTTTGTACAAGCTGCGAGATAAGGGAAAAATTAAACTTCTTTATTGATAAAATGCATAGTGTTTGAATAGACTATGTCTAAAGGGAAAATTGCATCATCGACCAAAGAAAACATGAATTACTGCATAAACAGGTATATAACCAAAATGTTTAGGGCAGTAACTTTAAAACAACTGACAACAAAGCAACAACAAAATACAAACATGAGGCAGCAGCAAAAGTAGGTGAGTGAGAAGGTTAATACCAGTCCTGTAGTACACAAAATAGTATGGCCTCTGAACACAGAAAAGGAAAATCATTAATTCTATGAAGAGAAAATTTTGCACTACGCATATATTACTTATTATTAAAGAAGAGGAATGCATCAAGACAAGGTAAAGAATCACATTGATGTTTACTAAAATAAGCACAAACAGCATATAGGACATGCAGGAAAAAGAAAATGGTAATAGGGCAAAATGCATGAAATATTTATCATATTCTGCAGTGCATAAAATAGATTATAATCTCAGAAGCAAAGAAATGCAAGGCTGGAAAATGAATACACTGTTACATAATACTATTATTCAAAGCAGAATAAGTGGAGGTGGCATATGTATGAAACATGAAAAGTTGTACCTATGTTGTATGTCTTGAAAAAGCTTACTAAGATCATTACCGAGACTGCTGAAAAGGAAAAATAAAAACCAAAACCCAAAACCAAAGAAACATGTTCCACAAAGAAAAACAAGGGAAAATGTAGATGACATCTTCCATAACATATGATCAAGGGGTAGCTGTCTAGTGGGTTGTTTGTTTAGAAACCAATTTTTTTTTCAACAAGATAGAGTATCCATCAGTCCCTCTTAAAAAAAAAAAAAAAAAAATATATATATATATATATATATATATATATGTATTTCCCAATACATTTGAATATTTGGAAGAAAACTGTATTAACTAGTTTAATCCAAACTTTGTGGGCACAATGGAAAATATCAATGTATTATTTTTTCAACCTTTTCAGAAAAGCCTGATAAGGTAAACTTAAACTTCAGCAGTAAGCAGAACTGGCCACTAAAGAAGAAAATCATGAAGGATGTGAGAGTTTCAGCTGGCAGTATGCTCCCTGCAGCATGATGGAGGATAAGGACACTGAAGATAATTTAAGAGATGCAGAGCTGATTAGAATAGAGCAAATATGATCTGGAACAAGATTTGGGACTAAAATACCACCTTATAAAAATGATTACCAGATATGACAATAACAAAACCAAATAACAACACCAAAAGATTAAAATCTTCTAAAATAACTTTTGCTTTGGTGTTCACAAATCATTCTGTTCCTGGTTAAAAAAAAAAGACAAACCAAAACAACACAATGTTTGGATTAAAACAAAGTGATTAATCTAAAAAGCAGAGATGGTGAATTAAAGGAGCAGGGAGATAACAATCTGATAATACAGGAGCACAGAAGGCCTAATAATGATATTATTACGCACATAACCAAACACTGACAAACAAATATTCTGTTAATTATATAATTGTGCATATGCTTCCTATGCTTGAGATAAATGATTATGGAAAAGAACTCTCTTCTTGAAATTGCATATATGCACTAAACCTTATAAACTCTCTACCACATGGATTAATCTAATTCCCATACACCACTTATGCCTGGTAAAGTATTTACTACAGACTTGGAAAGCTGAGCGTGAAACCCTTGCTTTGACTAGAAAGCACGAATTACGGAAGGCTGCTACGTCTTGACAGACAACAATCAGATATCTCTTATCAATACCGAACTACTTGGAAATAATTCAAGATACAGATATCTGATTTTCATTTGACCTATTCCAATTTGCACTTCACTGTGTCAACTTTGATATTAAAATGTTCAGCTAGAATAAAGATATTTATAATAAAAACATATATAAAGAACAGAAGATGAATAGATATTGTCATGGATACATATGCAGGCAATCATTTAAACACGCGGCAATAGTAACATCACATTTTTCATAGCTTCTAGTCAACGTACAGCAGGCAAATATATGCTTAATAAAGGTTATTAATCCTTAATAAAGTTGTTGCACTGTTTTTATTATATATAAATGCATTTTGCCCGAGCATATTTTGAAATAAGACAAATATTTAAAAAGTTGGGCTGCGTATTTTCAACCCCATGGTGAATTAACTCTCGAGCAGCAGTCTCAGTAGCTGCAAAGCAAAACAAATTCTCCAGTGTGGCATGCTGCCTCAGTGCCTCCTAAGGTCTCTGTTCCAATATTTTCTTGTTCAAAATAAATTAGGAAATATGGGCCCAAATCTTGAGGCTTGGCTCTTGTGCAATGCAAACAGAAATGACCTGGCAGCAGAGCAAAACCAGCATGGCTGTGTATTCTCTTTTATCAGATTTCTTTGGGGAGATCAGGCTGATTGGCTTTTACACATATGTACTTCTGACAATGCTGCAGCCCTTTGGGCAACCTGTAAGCACCATCCCATGCTGGAGGTGATGCAGAGCCATGCAGCAGCAGC